CCCCCCCCCATAAAATAAAACTAAATATGAGAATAACAAGAAGAACAACAACAAACACTTACGATATTCGATTCCCATGACAACGTCGCGAAAATTCTTCCTAGCGGTATCCTCATCGAGAGGCTTGTCAGTTGGTATTTGTAAAACTTCTCCTTTCTGTACTAACTCGAATACCAAGTAAAGATTATCCTCGTCCGGGTCGTCAAGTACTTCAACCAACTTGACGACGTTCGGATGATCCAATTTCTTCAAAAGTGCGATTTCTCTATAAACCTTTGCCAAAGGATCTGCGCTACCCTTTCTACCGGGTGCCATTCTACCAAAAATACCAGCCTTCTTCATAAGCTTCCTTTTGCTTAATATCTTCATGGCATAGTGAGTCTCGTCTTCCTCGTTGTATGCTAACTTTACTATACCATACGAGCCCTATCGTGCGAATTAATGAGAAAACTTTATTAACAGATTAATTATACATCCTCGAGAGAAATATTCTACGCGCGTGTTATGCAAACCTAATTCAAGTATATCTATGAGACTGTTTTCAATGTATAATCATTTTTATTTTTTTTCTCTTTTTCAATTTTTATACGAATAAACCAATTAAAATAAATTAACTAGATACTTTAAATGTATATTTAAAATAATACTACTTTTATAATGTGAATTTTGAGAGTACTTTCTCTATTATGTTTTTGATAAAAATTTAAATAAATCATCACGATTTTACACAGATATAATTGAATTTATAAAAGTTACTATGCATCCTATTATTTATCCTATATTTTTACATCAATAATTGATTTAAAGATATAATATATATTTAACAAATAAAAAATATGATAAAATCTTTTAGAAATTAGGTCTGCATATACGTGTGTGTGTGTATATATATAAGGGTATTTAATAAAATTCAAAAAAGTCTCTATTACAATTGGAACAGAGTAAAACAATTAGAGATAAAAACTTTTATGTTTTGCACATATATATATATATATATATATTTATATAACTCTAACTAAATTCACTTCGTAGATCGAAGAGATAAGAAACGACATTTGCGTTGCAATGAAATTAAACGAAAATGGGATTGGGTTAAACTTTTCTCTTGAACGTGACACGAATAATAATAACCATAATAATGGGTTACCATTTAAAAATGTATCTCGTTTATTTGTAATTATTATTATTGGAGAAAATATTTTTAATTGGGGTGCGACGGAGTGGTTGATGGAGCGGTGGTGCGGGTGGGGAGTGGGGGGGGGGAGGTTTCTCAGGTAGAGGAAAAAAAAAAGAAAAGAAAAGAAAAAAGTAAGAACAAATATGAATTGTGTAGATTACGAAATAGGTAAATCAATGATACAATGTAAAACACCAAAGGCCCCGGCCCCTCCCCCACCCCCACCCCCAATTAAGTTTTATTATACCGTCGTTCGATCGACGACGTTAGCGTAATTAATTTACCGTCTCGACGACGAGAACGAGAACGAAGTACGACGAGGGGCCAATTTAACTTTGACTTTAATTATACCAGTAGATTCTTCTTGTAACGCTTCGGGCTAAATGCCACTACCACCATCACCACAATTCGTTTCTTTCACACTTCAATTATGTAGATTGTTAATACATGTAAAAACCTGTTATTCGATGTAATTTACTTTAATAAATATATCGATCACCACCGCCAAAGTTTCTTTTTTTTTTCTCTTAAAATTGTCCTTAACAAAATTAACTTCTTTTTTACTTTTTTCTTGTTTCTTTTTTTTTTTACCAAATTATAGAGATAAGGGAGAGAATGAAAATAAAAAGAAAAATCTTGCGCGTGCAATATCGTGGTGTGTTTTTTTTTTTTTTTTTAATATTATATGTGAAATTTTTATGACCCAACTCATTTGGTAGAACTTACTTTTCTTTTTTTTTGACAGGATACTTTGTTTTTTACCTATGTTTTTATTACGATACTTAATTATGTATTTATTTTGTATAGAAAAAAGAAAGATTAAGAAAAAAATAAAAAAAAATAGATCGATATAGGAAAGTATCGAGTCATTAAATATCGATTAAATATAAATTCAGACACAAGGTAGCTTATAAAAATTCTACTCAGCACTTTTCCTTCTATTCGTTATTAATCGTTTTACCAACCTATCAAACGGATTATCCTAATCGATTTCCAATGACAACAACGCAAACCATCTTCACTTAGACGTTGACATGATATATATCAAAAAGCTTTTTGTTCTTATTTCGATAATCTATTATATAGAAAAGAAAAAAAACGAGAAAGAGAGAGAGAAAAAAAAACAAAATAAGTACATAAAGGTTAGGTTAATATTTCTAAACGATTTGTCTACAATTGTAATGTTCAAAAATATAAACCAAAATTATTAAACAATTATAAAATACCACCTTAAGCAACTTATGATTCATCGTACTATGCCTTTTTCTCTCGTTCAAAATTATTATAAACATTAAAACAATGGTTTTTTTTTTATAAACAATACGTTACGATTTGTCTACAATTGTAATGTTAAAAACTAAACCAAAATTATTAAACAATTATAAAATACCACTTAAATCAATTTATGATTCATCGTGCTATGCCTTTTTTCGTTCAAAACTATTATAAATAT